ATGATGCAGATACAGGTGAGAGAGGGGGATGATGCAGATACAGGTGAGAGAGGGGGGATGATGCAGATACAGGTGAGAGAGGGGGATGATGCAGATACAGGTGAGAGGGGGGGATGATGCAGATACAGGTGAGCAGCGCGTGCAGCCAGATTTTTGTTCCGTGTATTATGTTTTCTACCGTGTGGGACTATTGCAGATCAGTTTGTCTCCTTTCGTCTTTTCGTTTAAAAAAAGAAACGAATACGGGAGTAGGGGGCGATGTCTGCTGAACGCTAACTAATTACTATTAAATATTTATTGCATGTAATTCAAATACAAGTACATGTACTGTTGTTGTGTGTTGTTGTGTGTTGTTGTACATGTTACACTAATGTCGGATGCTAACGCGTCTCGTCACGTTGCAGTCGCTGTCGCAGCACGAGCTGAGTTCCTTCGATTTCAACTCCATGAGCAACTCTCTGACTGAGATCAAGGAGACTCTAGAACCGGCGAATCATCGGTGGGTTGGTCGCGCGCGCGATGACGGCGACGCGACAATCACGCTTCACGGAAGCTATTTGACGCGCACGTTGACGGCGACAAAATTAGCATGCTTTACAGAACCTGTCGAGCATTTCACCATCGCGCTGCATTCTCGTTGTGCATTTACTCTATTAGGAGAAGAGAGAAGGATGTAACTTTTTGCCCTCTCGTTTTGGCGTAAGTGAGTACACTGTTGAGGTGCAAGCATGTGCGCGTGAGTGAACTAGGAACGTGTCGAGGTTTACCGTTCGCCTTCCTGTTTTGCAGCGTATTCCAAGATCACGTCGAGATACACATCAACCACATTCAGAGCGGACTGAGTCAGATGGGCAATCTGCACGCCTTTTCCATCTCCTAGATCAGCCAGCCGGCTTGAAGGTTACGGGGATACGCTATCCGCTTCCTTTCTCACGCACAAGATGGCAGCACTATCGGAATGTGTTTTTGTATGCACATGCGCGTGAGAAGTTCACCGAGAAAACGTCTGTCACTTAACCGATTGTTGACATCCGTCTGTGCGTACGGTTGGTGCTCATGCAACTTTACTGGTGCGTGTGACCTCTCTACCTTTGATCCTGGCCCCCACTGCCGCTATCAGTGTTATGCGATCAAGCACTAGATGTTTTCCAAGAACCGTGCTTTCAGCATAAGGTTTTTGGCGCGTTTTCTCGGTGGAGAGCGCGCCGAGGGGAGCTTACGTTAACGCTCCTGCTGTATCTCGTTATTTTTCTATTGCGGAAATAGTCGAAACTAGACGTTCTAGTTTTCGTGGATGCGTATAACATAGACAATATCATACGTTGTTATCATTTTGTATACATGCAATGTTTGTGCAGGGTAGTGCGTGCGTGCATGCGAGAGCGTGCGTGCGTGTCTGGTGTGTACATTCTCCTGTGTGTATTATGAGTGTATAATGGATACGTAAGGTGAAATCCATGTAAAACGTTTCCTTAGAATATATAGCATATGAAATATGCTAAGATCATAATTAGAAAATGTTTTAACTGAAAATGCAATGAAAGTATTAGTTTTCAGTTAGTAGTGGTTGCCATCAGAAGCACATTTTTCATTCGTGTACAGTTAAAATACCATTTCGTTACTGATAGAACATAGCTATGAACGCGTGTTGTAGTTGTGTGTACAATTAGTGTTTCTTTCCCATTTAATGTATGGGTATTATTATTTTATAGCTGTGATTTTTAGTGTAATGTTTTGGAAAACGTCGCATATGAGTGCAGGCCGTGCAATATCTTGTACACTAACCTGATTGTACAATGTTACGTATGTATGTTATACTTGTTATGCCACCCGCAGTTGTAATACTGAAATTAGACGTGGTATTAAATAAGTTTGGCATTTGTTTCTGGTTCATTATTCTGTTGTTCTTCTTTCACGCGCACCGGCCCATGGTACCTGCAAATTTCATGAACACAATTGACAATGTGACTATTCTTATTATAGCAGTGAGAAATAACGCAGTGAAGTCTATACGCTCTTGCAGATTAAGCATTAAATTGACTACGTCACGATTTTTCTATGGTTGCATTTTTTTTACATTAAAAATAAGTACTAACGGGACTAAGCCTTTACCTGATACGATTGTTTCTCAACTAGGTACAATTCAAAAAACCTCGGCGCTTTGATATTATGATCACGACATTAAATGCTAGCTTTGGGCTATGTATGAATCACGAGTGTTTGTTCACATCGAACAGAATAGAAAAATAGGAAGTATAATGCAGCAATTTAAGCATAAAAAGTGAACAGAATCACTTGCATTTTATGAAAAGTGGACATAATTTTTTCACGTTTACTGTTTACGGTGACGTAATCACTAGCACTATAAACTAAGACTCGGTAAACGAGTACGAGTACGTAGGAGTTTTACAGTAGATTACATATTACGCGTGCGCAAAGCAAATATTGATAGTAGATCTGCGCCTATTTTAGATGACATATAGATAGATAGTTGTGTACATCGCTGCATTCGAGTGATGAGTCGTTCTACAACGATTAAGCAAACGTGTGCCGTGTATACGTGATGTGGACAACGACCACGAATCTAGTATATAGTATGCAAGATACCGAAGGAATTCCAAGATACTGCGCCGCCATTACGGGATCAGTCGTGCTGCGGGAAATGGACAAGCGACAAGCATGTAAAACACAGGGTAGGGTTTATGTGTAAGAGCGCGTATTTCGGATTGCGCGTCCATTTTTGATATCGAACGTAGAGAGAAGACATTTTCGCGTGCTTTACTCTGTGTTATTTCTGTAATGTTTGAGGTTTGGTTAACGCCGACTGTGCTGGTTAACGACGAATAGAAATGGGCATACGCACTTAGTCACTCGTGCATTGCTACCAAATGTAGATCCAATGATAACATTAATGATGAGTTTAACGCATAATTATGACACAGCCGAGACTCTCTCGCTAAAACCAAGGTTAGCAGACAAAACAAAGCGGCACTGTATCGACCTACGTAGCGTCAACAATAGAGTTGGTTACGATACCGATACGCAAATAGACAACTGTCACGTTATTCTGATGATATCCATGTAGTTAATCATAACGGCTATGGTCTATGGCCACGTATTCCGTTATTAGACATATGGTTGCTCATTCGAACATAATCCCACCGTAAAGGTTTAATCACTTTGCAGCGTTGATACACGCGCATAAATAAATAATGGCTATAAAAATTAATCGCGCGCGCGCGCACACACACACACACACGCACGCACGCACGCACGCACACGCACACACACACGCTCGCACGCGCGCGCACACGCGCGCGCACACACGCACGCACGCACGCACACGCACACACACACACACACACACCAAGAGTAAGATAATGGGCTATTATTAACTTTTGCACACACGCATACACACTCACCTACGTATCGTATGTGCATGTGCACTTTCAGAGCTCGCTACGACACTCTACGATGCCGTAGTCACAGACAATAGGGCTGACTTTATGGTGCACATAATACGGTACAGGCACGATGCCGCAACGTTTCACTCGGCGCTTCGCCGAATCCCGTTGTTGCACGAAGCGAGCAGACGGGGCCGGGAGTACCTGGCTGGTATTTTGATCCAACATGGCGCCAACGTCAATCAGACTACAGATGAGGTATTTATATATATATATATATATGTATATAACACGTACGTTTGTACCAATGGACATTGGAAGTTTTTTTGGTGTCTAACCATATGTTTTCAGTTGGCATATGAGGATTCCAATAATAACAACGTATTTATGATTGGAACACTCTTTACCATCCTCCAAAACACTAAAAGAGAAATAATGTAGAAGATGTAATTCAATATAAAATTCAATTTATAAGTTGAAAATGGATATTTTTTTTAAAGGTACGACAATGCTACATGTATGAATCAGGAGTTACTAGTTGTCATTGCTTCAATCATCTTCTAGATCTTCGCCAATCATTGGTGGTGTAATGTTCGTACAGCTGTCGCCTTTCCCACCACATTTGCAAAGTTCGGTACAGACCACATTGTTTCCTCTGCATGAGCACCTTCGCGAACACTTTGATTTCTCACAGTTACACCTGACGAGCTGCAGCACCGAGACTGGGGCTGGTGCAACCTGAGAAAGAACTGTCAGTAGCTTTTTGTCTAGGTTTTGCCACCCCAAGGTCAGAGGGTCCAGACAAGTTGGTTTCAATACCATATCCTGGTGCCAGATATTAGCCTGGACATGGGCACGGCATATATGTTGAATCCATGCTCCCTGAGTCGGTGGCAGTTCGTCAACGCCTTGTTCATCTTTGAGTTGCTTGAACAAAAACCATCTGAGCATATTTGCTTGCCCAATGTGGACTCCACTTGGACAGGAAAGAGAAAAAAGGAACTCTTCACAGCCATGTATAACTTTTTCGGACGGTTCATCTCCTTCGCCAAGACCAGCTAGTGCTATCAGGATGGCGGGGCTTGCCTTCAGGAAAGTTGCAAAGCATCCCTTCTTTCCCTTTCCTTGGATATGTCCTGTCGTATCACAGCCTGTGAGAGCATGCCAGTTTATCAAAGCTGCTGATTTCTCCGGTCCAAGCTGTAGGCTGTAGGAAGACTTTTCGTCGTCTTTCGCTTGTCCCCATGATTAGCGCAGAATGGTTGCCAAGTAGTGGCGTTCTTCGTAGAGCCAAAAGCAGCACATCTGTGTCTTGAGAATATATGTGGACCTTAATCCCGTTGCTCGCAACTTCTACAGCATGATAAATCATAAGAGTGTCCGCCTCTTCCTGTGTGCTGACACCGGGCATTATTTCACATTCATAATTCGTCATGACCTCCTGCCGTGTTGCAGTCATGACCTTGACGGTACTGTAGTGGATAAGCTGATGGGAAAGGTAGAGAGTTAGCGAATCCTTTGTGCTGCTGCTGGCGAGAAACATCTTTCTGTCTTTGATGCCCGTTGAGTCTTGAACTATGTAGGATTTAGTTACCCCCACATTGCCTTTCCGTCGCTCTCTATTCTGTTTCTTCATTGATGCTTTATTGGTGTAGTTATCAAATATAACTCGCACTTGACAATATCCTCGAGACAAATGAGTGTGACGAAGGATGTTGCAAGCTCTTTGCAAGTCTTGAAAATTTTGATTGCCATTAACTCCTGTACCACTCCCATTCCACTCGGTGGGCTGTGCAGAAGTTTGAACTGTGTCGTTGGCCACCAAATCTTCCAGAAGCTTTATCACTGTGCTCTTGTCCGTAGTGGGATGAATAGATCCATCCGGTGCCATGAGAACTTTGTTCGTGTAGGCAAACTCATGCATGCCAATCACTTCTTCCAGATCAACACTCTCTCGAGATGACCGGGCAATAACCAGCAGTCTGGCAAAGAGTGATGTGGTTGCCTTCAAGGTCAACACCTCAGACCCTGTGTTCAATTTAATGTCTTTTGCAGCAGACATCCATGTCTTCTGCTTGACTTTGGTAATCTTGTCCCACAACTTGCGACTCCCAATGATGCGTTCCTCTACAAACGTTTTGCAAGCTTCCATGCCATTCTTCTCTGTTGCTAGGATACTTTGGTGAACTTCGTCTGGGATGATCTCCTTTGACATGAGTTTGTACATGCAGCCTCTGCAGTCCGAGTTCTCGCTACCAGCCTCCGTTTGGAATAAGTTGCAGGGTGCTAACACTGACTTCAGCTGAGCAATGGAGCGTTCTTGGCGAGCAATTTTTGACAGAGAGTTGATGATGCTGTGGTGGTGCAATTGTGCTAGTAGTAGCTACAAGTCGTTCTGACTCATCAGCAAGTCGTGCCAGCTCCGGAGCAGTGAGACAAAACTTCAAGAGCGTTGCTGGAGATGTTGTATCTTCAGAGATCCCTCCTTGGCTTTTCCGTTGATTTGTTGAGGTGTTCCATCGCTGATCAACACCAATTCGTTTCCGTGAATGCGAATACGGTTGCTGGTATTCACGCAAACTCACCATTGTAACAGCTCTAGCCATAGGATTCTGCATCAGAGGCTTTTCATGGCCATCATGCTCCTGTGCGGATTGAACTCTGGAATTGTTTCGGCCATAATCTAGCCTGGCATATGCCAAAAAAGATGCAAGTATCTTACAAAGATGCCTCAGTGTATACCAAGTTAAGAGGAGCCAGTTCCCTTCCCATATTATAGCTTTCTTGAACACGTGTTAACACTCGCTCATTCACCTGACCGCATGTACATCCTAGCCCATTGAAACATTGTGGTCTGTTTACGACTACGCGTCAAAACTTCTCGGTAGCTGTTCTCAAGATTTGAAGGTTATTTTGAATGCTCCTTAATGCGCGCTTCTGCAACGCCTGTCTTATCCGGATAGATATAGTCAGCTGCCTTTACGCTGCTAGCAAGGCGTCACGCTACACAGGTTTGATCCTCAAGGAATTTCTCCATCCAGAGTCGAGAGTGCCTGAAGAGTTAACTGCTGGCCTCCAAATGCGCTTTCGATTCGCTATTTAAAAATCTGTGATACATGCTAGTCACGCTTTCTGTTCAGATTTGTCGTCGTCACGACCTTAATTGATTAGATTCAGATTTCAAGATATATCAAATCAAGATATCTATCTACAAAACATTTATAAAATTATGACTTGATTAGAGTATATGTTCGTGTATCTAGAAATACAAAGTTAAAAACTAATGAGTCCGATTGATTTTAAAAATTAAAATGCGTGGTAAGATTATATATAATTTTTTGATATAGATAGAAACCTGTTTCTATCCATGCAAACAAGAGTTCAGATGAAAAGTTGTCTCAACTATCAATTCATTTTGGCTACTCAAACTCTATATGAACGATATTTCGTTTACGTTTAAAATAATTGTTGATACCAAAAAAATCATCA